GAATTTCAGCCAAAGACAAAAACCTAATAGAAAATTCGATCAGCCTCCAAACTAAAGGAGGCACAAGGCCAAAAGGGAAAAAAGTGAGAAAATAGTTTTATCCCAAAATCCTAGCAAGAAATACTATTACCTTCTCTTTTAAAGTTGTTACAAAATTGCCCGAGATTGATTTCTAGTGGAAAAACTTAATTATAAAAGGTGGAGCAATCACCCCATCAATTTTGAGTGCTTTTTTATGGATATTTGGGCTGCATGGATCATTAATAGAGGCTGGACACTTGGACAACTAATCAAAGAAAAGGAATTTAGATCCGCTCTACAAGAGGTAATCCTTTACTTTTATCTTATTATTCATGTATATATGATTAGTTGATTCAACGACATGATCTTGAACCTTTAGATGGAGGAAATTTTTTATTTATTTTTGCACCTCTATAGGATATATGATCCTTTAGTTTATTGGCACCATTGAATTCCCTTCCTAATTACTTTTTTGCCACTTACTATTTCTATCAAGTTATGTTTGTGCCCACCTTTTCTTAGTTATGCATTAACTAACTTTCTATCTATTTTCGTAAATTTAATCATTTTTGTGGGAGAGAATTTAATGCTCCATATGCTCCTCGCTTCTTTATCTTCTTTTTTGTTTCATAGAAACTAAAAGCTAATAGCATTAATAAGGCCATTTTTTTATAGTACCAAAATTCAACAACCCACACTTCATTATTTTATTTCATTTTATAATTTTGTATGAAAAGAGAAAAATTCATTAACTTGATCTATCAAATTTATTCTCTTGGCAATCAACATTTATTTGAAAACTTCCAATCATGAGCTTTTATGAAAGGCTAAATGAATGGTAGTACAACAAAATAGAATTTATTATTTCTTTCACGTTTATGGGATCTCAAATTCGATTTCCCTATAAAATAGAATCTATTTTTTTTAATGTTAAGGATAAGGTCAATTTTGATACTTTAAGACTATATAGTTTTTTCAATCAAATTTTAAACAAGTCTTGCTTACCCTATATATATATATATAGTTTCTTCATTCTTTAATAATCAAATCCTCAATAATATATGGGGAGCAAATTAACAAAAACAACTTAGAGATTTTCATTATCATTTTTTATTCATTCTCTTGCAAATCATTATTTACTTTGTGTTTTTTTTTTTTTAATTTTGGAAGATCGTATTTTCGTGCTTTTTGGTCGTTTTTAGGCATTCATATGCAAATTTTGCTTTATATTTTATTTTGATTGTTGATGTCTTTAAAAAATATTTTTGGTCCTTAGATAGACTAGGCTTGCCTTTTTTTTTTTTTTTGGCTTTTTTTTCTTGCGTTTTTCTTATTGAATTTTGGATTTTTGTAAACATATATATATATATATATATATATATCGGATTATATTATTCTTATTATTTAAAATTAATCTCTTCAATTTGTTCTTTTTTTATGAAAATTCTCTTCAAATTAGTTTTTTATTCTTTCTTCTTTTTTTTTTATGTAATTTTATCTCGTTAATAAATATAATTTATTTTCTTATGTGTATGAATTTTTGAAGGTCCTCGATGTTTTTTTTAAAAATATATTTGGTCCCTAGATGGACCAGAGCTTGGCATTTCTTTTGGCTTTTTTTTCTTCCTGCATTTTTTAATTGAATTTTGGTTTTTCACACACACACACACACACACACACACACACATGTGTGTGTGTGTGCATGCGTGCGTACACGCGCGCGCGCGTTTGCATGTGCGTGCATGCGTGTGAAAAACTAAAATTCAATTAAAAAAAATGCATGAAAAAAAGCCAAAAAATGGCAAGCCCGGTCCATCTCTGAACCAAAAATATATTTTTTAAAAAATCAAGGACCTTTAAAAATCCATACATATAGGAAAATTATATATATACATATATTATTTTTTTAAATTAATCTCTTCAATTTTTTGTTTTTATGAAAATTCTCATCAAAATAGTTTTTTATTCTTCTTTTTTAACTAATTTTATTTGTTAATAAATATAATTTATTTTTTACCGTGTATGGATTTTTTTTGAATTTTTAAATAATTAATTAATTAAAAAATAGAATTCATATATTTAATTTTTTTATTCTTTATATAATCAAAATTTATTGGAATCAATTTTATGATTATTTTTATTGGAGTTTGCTAACTTCAATATATTCTTTACAATTTAAGTTTTTTTATTTTTTTTTATTTATGAGACACATTCCGAGCCACTAAGTATGGCCATGATGTATAAAAAATAAATTAAGATCATTGACTTTATTGAAAATTAATTATGTATCTACACACATAATACCAGTAATTTGTTATTAATTTTTTTAAAAAATTAAAATTAATATATTTTGAATAAAATAAGTAAAATAATATTTCAGAAGAACCATGTAATGATTAAAATATAATTTTTATATTAATATTGTTGATTATATATATATATAAAAAAAATTTATCTTCTCATCAATAGTAAAGAATAATAAAAAAATTCATTTGTTAAAATTTATACAAGTTTTTATATCGATTGTTGTTATATTTATTCAAGCAATCTTATGAAAAAAATTATTAAGATATTTTTACTTAAGAATAAATGCATAAGAAAGAATAGATCGTGTTTTTTTTTTAAACTATAAAATTTATGAAAAACACAAAGAAGAATAAATTAAATAGAAAATTTTGATTAAAAAATATGAAATTAGATGTTTTTTTTTACCTTTAATTTTTATATTTTAATTGACTGACAATATAGTACAAACTAAAAAAATTAAAATAAATTTATTTTATTTAGACCGTAGCGTAGCGCGAAAAGCTAACTACCAACCTCTAATATATAAATACTCATCTCACAAATTTGGATTTATTTATTTATTTTGTAAAAAAAAAATGAATGTATTGTAGTTACATTGATAACATATATCAAACATTGTGTTTTTTTACAATCCAATTATTTAGAGAAACTTCATCGTTAGTATCATTTATCACTACAACAAAATAGAGGATTAGAGATCATTTTTTAGCAATAGTTTTTTTTAAATTGTCACTAAAAACCAAAAATTCGCGACCATTTGAGTAGACCATTGCGAATCTCATTACGATTTTGGGTTTTTAGTGATGATTTTGAAAACCATCTCTATAAACTCACAAATTCGCAACGATTTTTCAAACCGTCACAAAAACCACGTAAATACTTAGGTGTTTAGCTATGGTTTTGAATTTAGGTGGTTTTTAATGATGGTTTTCAAAAATGTCGGTGAAAAAATAAGAATTTTTTGTGACAATCTATGTAGACCATCGCGAATTTGACCATTTTAATTCGGTTTTTAATGATGGTTCCCCATCGCTAAAAACCATAAATTAGCGATAGTCTAACTAGACTCGTCACTAAATACATTGCTTTTTAGTGATGGTTTTACAAACCATCACTAAAAACATCTTTATTTCAACCTAAAGGGAAAATTATTTTTTTTAAAAAAAGTATTTAGAAATGGTTTCGCGATAGAATGCGAATCGTCACTAAACACAAAATCCCTAAATGGGTTTTTGTCACTTTTTTGCTTCATTTTTCCCTCCCTTCTTCTCTTCTCCTTGGCTAGCAACACCACCCCAAAAAACCTCCATAGACGCCATGAGCTCCTCTAAACTCCCATTCTCGCTTCTTCCCCTCCATCCCTTCCCTTTTCCTCCTGCATTTTTTTCTTTTTTCTCTCCTTTCCTTCTCCTCCACCCTTCCCTCCTCTTTTACGTGTGTCCATTATTGGCAGCAACTCCTTCCTTCACTCCTCTTTCATTTGTGGGCTTCCGAACTCTCCTAAGGTGAGTTCTTAGTTTTTTTGTTTATTAAATGTATATATATTGTTGTTTTCTATATATATGTACTTAATTTTTTTTTAATTTTTAGTTAGTTTAATTTATTTTCTTGTTAGGGGTAATTTATTAGTTGTTAAATAATTATTCTAGGTGTTAAGGTAATTTATTTAGGTGAAAAATAATTTTAATAGTTGTTAATTATGTTATTTAGGTGTTAAAATAAGTTAATTAAATTAATTAATTGTTAAAAAATTTTAATTAGGTGTAAAATAATTTAATTAGGTGTTAAAATATTTAATTAAGTGTTATTTAAATTAATTAATTGTTAAAAAAGTTTAATAGATGTTAAATTGATGCTATTTTATAAGAATAGGTTCTAGTCATACACTCATAAGAGAACATGAGGTGAATATTTTAAAAATTGTACCTGAACAATGCAAAGTACTCATGTGAGTGCATGTATGGATGTAATTCTTTCTAATATAAAGAACATATGTTATTTATTATTTTTTTTAAGAGTTCATTAGAAGCTAAAAAGAACATTGGTGAATAAAATTATATGAAAATATTAAAATAGGAAAACTCAATTTGAAAAAAAGAAAAGAAAAGGAGGAGAGAGGTACATATACGTGGTAGTATTTATTTTCTTCATTTAGCGACGGTTTCCGTGGCCAAATGATTTTTTTTTTTTTTTTTTAGTGTATCGAAGTCGAAATATAATATCTTTTCATAATAAAATTAATTATAAGTAGATATATATTGTATTACCGACTGGGCTGTGTTAAAATCGAACACATAAGCACTGAAATTGAATATATTTTTACTGAATAGCTAATATAACCTAGATATATGGAATTAATTATAAAGGACCATGTGGGAAGTCGACCTCACGAAATTGATTGAATAATCCTTCTCATTACTGCTTTGAACCATAATCTCAAATAAATATCTTGAGTCATCATACTTCTCACTGAAAATGGGGTGTGGAGTCATCTGAAAAACCATACTTCAAGTTTAAACACAACGTACGTAACTGGACTGATTCACCATAACTTCCCATCATCATCACCTTTTTGGTTAAACACAAAAGAACTAGCTAGCAACATTGTATAAGCACTGAAGATAGACAAAAAGCAGTGGAAGGAAGGAGGAGAGGACAAAAGAAAAGGGAAAATGATACCAAACACAAGTCTAGAAGCTGTCTCCTTTTTAGAGCGTAGTAATAGTAGCGTAGAAGAAAGTAACAAGCGAAGGATGTGGTGGGAGAAGGTGTTAGATGTTGAAGAGGCCAAGAACCAACTCTTGTTTTCGCTGCCCATGATTCTCACTAATGTTTTCTACTACTTGATAACTTTGGTGTCGGTCATGTTTGCTGGTCATCTCGGGGAGCTTGAGCTTGCTGGAGCCACCCTGGCTAACTCATGGGCTACCGTCACTGGCTTTGCCTTCATGGTAACTCAACCTCTCTTATTTTCCTTAATTTTCGTCCTTTTTTTTTTTTTTTTTTTTTTTCAAGAATTGTGTACAACCGACAAGATATCGTCTCTATTTGACTTGCTTTCCAAAAAAGATGTGTTGATTTTTTGTCAAGTTTTTTATGCACTACATGTAGCAGTAGCAGTATATGATAAAATTGAGCAATTCAAAAACGAGAAACGTAAAGGTTGCCTTTATTGCCAAATCAAGTCAAGACCCCTTAAAAAACATGATAGAAAATAATAATAATAGTAATAATAATAATAATAATTATTATTATTTTATTTTTAACATCTGCAGTAGCTTAAAAAACATGAGTAAATTATAAATTAGTCCCTTTAATTTTTCAAAAAAAAAAAAAATTCTATTAGTTCATTTAATAATTAATTGGGCTTATATTTTTAAATCTACTTGTAATTTAATATTTTTTTATTTTTTATTTTTTTAATAAATATAAAAAAAGTTAAATATATGAAAATATTGACAAAAAAAAATATTTTTGAAACAAAATAATAGTAAATTAATTGTGATCAATACTGATTAAAAGCTTAATTAATTAGTTTTGAAAACAACAAGTACTATTTAATTTGTTTTGCATGCTAGAGAAACTAATTTATAATTTACTCTAAAAAACATTAATGGGGGAATTTGTTAACAATTCTGTTTTGAAGTACTAGAACCTGGATATCTGGTTTGCTCAACTTTATGTGTGATGGCAATCGTGAATTTAGCAAGCACGTAATCATGGCCTTTAAAGAACAAAATCTAAAAGCCCAGTATACATAAAAGGTCCCATGACTTAACCGACTAGTTTGAGTTTTGTTAGAAACTTTAGATATATTAGATAATAAGTTAAGTGTGCTATGAAGAAAATTTAAAAATATTTTTAAGTTAAAATTTTATCTCATATTAGAAAGGATTGGAAAGAAAAGATAACTTATAAAGTGGATTTTTAATAAAATTTTCAAATATTTAACTGAAGAAATTAAAAAGAAAACTAAGTTAATTGATTGAAATATATATACGGCATTACGTAATTCTATTCTTCTTTAAAATCGTTTCAAGGCAAGACCACTAGAGTAAATTAAGAACACAATGCCTGTAGTTTGGTAGTGGTAATCAAATGTTGTTGTCGTTGAAGAATTCGTAGTGCATAATTGTGTCATAACATTCTTTAGATAATCAAGGTAATATCGATATAATTAGCAACAAAGTAAATTAAATAAGATAGCCCATGCTTCTTTTCAATCACATTTCATTTTGTTTTTAATGGTTAAACTATTTTTGGATCAGCTTTTATATTTTGAAATTAGGCTAGTTTCATTTTGTAGATACATTACTATGTTCTTAATATAGCTATAATATTTTTAAGTTCTCATAAATCATTTGTTTAATGGATAGAACCCTTAATTTAAATTATCTCATCATGGTCTCGTTTTCTTTTAAAACCCTCTTTTGAGACGATGCTACTTGGTTGATTCTTCCTGTTGTATGTTTTTTAGATAGGGTTGAGTGGAGCACTTGAAACACTGTGTGGTCAAGGATTTGGTGCAAAGATTTACAGAATGCTCGGAATATATCTACAAGCATCCAGCATTATATCGTTCATCTTCTGCATTACCATATCGGTTATATGGTTCTATACAGAGCCAATTCTGATATTATTACATCAAGATGCTCACATTTCTACCGCCGCTGCTCTCTACATGAAGTGTCTCATTCCTGGACTGTTCGCGTACGGCTTCCTGCAGAACATCCTGAGGTTTCTTCAGACACAATCTGTAGTGATGCCCCTTGTGGTATTCTCGTTAGTACCAATGGGCATTCATATTGGTATTGCTTATTCTTTGGTTCATTTTACAGCTCTTGGGTTTAAGGGAGCTCCACTGGCAGCATCAATTTCACTATGGATATCAGTCCTAATGTTAGGCATTTATGTGATTTCTGCAAAGAAATTTGAGCATACATGGGATGGGTTTTCATTTGAGTCATTTCGTTACATTCTTCGTGACTTGAAACTAGCCCTGCCTTCTGCTGCAATGGTATGGTAAGAATCCTTTCCTTTACAATTTGAAACTTGATCTCTTCTAGTTCTGCATGCTTATAGAGGCATGCCTAAAATTTCGTCTTTCGTGATGCGTCGGTTCTGCAAGCCAGACATCTAAATGAATTAATCAATTGTATTTGTGAGTGAAGGTGTACAGGATTAAGTTTACTTCTTGATCATGACACTTAAAATCGCACTACCAATTCACTTCCATTTTTACCAAAATGTTTTGCCAGCTTGGAGTATTGGGCTTTTGAGATTCTGGTGTTCCTAGCAGGATTGATGCCAGGCTCAGAAATAAGTACCTCACTGATCGCAATATGGTACTTTCAATTGTTATTTTCTGCCTTTTCCATCTCTTGAAGAAATCGTTGCTTTAAGTACTATTTCTCATTCTGTTTATATATTCAGTGTGAACACAGAAACCGTGGCCTACATGTTAACCTACGGACTCAGTGCTGCTGCAAGGTTAGCTGATAAATTAAATTAATATTTCACTTGTTTTGGTATTGTTTCATTCTTCTGTTTTAGATATTGAAATCAATAACTTCATGTAACAGTACGCGGGTGTCAAATGAGTTGGGAGCAGGCAATCCAGATAGAGCTAAGCGTGCTGTAACTGTGACTCTCAAGCTCTCTCTCCTTCTTGCCCTTGTTGTTGTTCTGGCTCTAGCATTTGGTCACAACATCTGGGCTGGCCTATTCAGTAGTAGTTCTACAATAATAAAGAAATTTGCCTCAATGGCTCCCTTCCTTGCAATTTCGATTGCTCTTGATTCTGTGCAAGGTGTCTTATCAGGTTCGAATCATGCACTTCTCTGTAGCCAGAGGAAGTTAATTTTTTGAAGTTAATTTTTACATTTTCTCATATTCATCATCCATGAAATGGAATTAGATGCAGTGTTTCTGATTAAAGGACTAATCACAATTTCCCTGTTCACTCTTTTCTCAAATGAATTTTGCTTAGATTTTACAAAAATGCATTTTGACATACTGCAGGGGTGGCCAGGGGCTGTGGTTGGCAGCAATTGGCGGTTTATGCTAACTTGACAACGTTCTACTTAATTGGCATGCCTATAGCCTGTGTTCTTGGATTCAAGTTAAAGCTTTATGTTAAGGTAACTCAACTTTGTGAAATAAACGTAACAAGGCACTGATGCGTATTAACTTTTATGAATTCTGATCTATTTACTTTGGTGCAGGGTTTATGGATTGGCTTAATCTGTGGCCTCTGTTGCCAAGCCGGCGTGCTCTTGATGATTACAGTAAGGACCAGTTGGACCAAAACAGATCTGTCTGTAACCAGAGATAAAGAGAACCCCATTGTCGTCTAACAGGATCCTCTCCGTTAATGGATTGCGACAGCTTAGGTGAATTGCAACTTTGCAAGTAACTAGCGAAAGGTAAGTGATGAAATCAAGATGCTTGTCGTAGAAACATGTTTGGCTTCTCATAAAGCAGTTAAATTTATAGTGACTCACCAGGAAAAACAACTCCATCAAAAATTGCAAGCTGAAGAGAGGGTTTCCCTTACAATAGTTGGAATGAAAGTGTTATTTCTTTCTAGGGGTCTGTTGCAAATTCTGAAATTCCAATAGAGAGGTCATAGTAGTACAGATAGTGAAAAGTTTTATAGCGTTTCAAATTGCTGTTGCATGCACAAGATAAAATTGAGACCTTTATAGGATTTGTTTAAACTTAATTGCTCCCTCAGATTCTGTCATGGTTGTGATTCAGATTAGAAAAAGTTGTGGTTAAGTACACCTTCAGAGGGATTTTACTGCAAAAAGGACATAATCTGAACAATTTCAACATGTAATTCAGGGACTTATCTGTTGATACTTGCTGTGCATTTTTTCAGAACTCGTATGTTAAGAATTGCTGTGTGTTTTTCACCTTAAGATTCCTCTTCTAGTGACTTTCACTGGTAGAGCAGCTATGTTTAATTGCTAGTCAAGCAAGGAAGCAACACCTGGGAGTTGAATGAGAGCCGAGGCAATTTTGGTCTTGAAGCTTCCCATGTTTTTTACCTTGCCAAATCTTCCACATTGATAACCAGCAAACAATCATAATAGAGACCAGCTCCATTCAGAGAGGGCTCTTCTCAGGAATCATATATTAATTATGACTTGTACGAATGGATAAACTGAAAATTTATTTCGATGCAAGTTTCACCATTAACTGGATTTAATGATGCTGGTGTGAAATTTGCAGTATTCTTTAATATATATTGAACGGATAGTAAAGATTTAGCAAAGATCAGTCTTTAATTCACCTCGGAAAAAAAGAAAAAGAAAAAAAAAGAGCGTCTTCATTTGTATCTATCTTGACCTAAAGAGAGCATTGAACAAGCCATTCCCAAGTTGGCTCCCTTTACTTTTCCTTAACTGAATCGACACCCTTGGTGATATGCCATGGTATAATGGATCATTCAAATACTAGCTCAACACAAGACCCAATCTTTTTTGAAAAAGGATTAATGGTTACACAAGTTTTTTTTTTTTTTCTTCTTCTTCTTCTTCTTGTTCTTCTATTTTTTTTTATGAACTTTAATCCTCCACGTTTGGTTTGGTTTTTTTTTTTTTTAATCTCGTTTCTCAGTTAACTGTTGAGCTAATGATGTTCACTTTTTTTTTTTTTTTTTTCTTTCTTCCTATTGTAATCTTATCCCTCTATTTTTTTCCATCTTAATCTTTTGTTTTTACCAAACTTAAATAAATAAATTTTGACAAGTAAAAAAAATTTTAAAAAATGAAGATAAATTCGAATATTCTTTCTAAAAGTTGAAAATAAAAATACAAAATAAGAAAAAGGTGAAGCTAAAAATGTTGTTTTTGTCCAAAATATGTTTTATGGGTTTACATTAATCTCTATGGTAGTAAATAAATTTTAAGTATAAAATGAAATATCCTTAAAATGAAATATTTATAGTATTGTTTTAAATATTAAGAGAGTTTTAGTTAAATTTTAAACTTTTAAATGATATTATAATTTTATAATACCTCAAAAAATTATATTATAATTTACTTATTTTAATTTTATAAATTTTTTAGTTTGAGAAATTTAACCTAAACTCTCTTCACATTTAAAAAATACCATAAATATTATTTCATGCTCAAAATTTTGCTTATTATCATAGAGTCAAATTTTGCTTATTATTATAGAGGTTTAATGGCAAATTTTACCTCCAAAATACAGCAATTTGGTAATTTTGAGTTTAAAGTATTAAATTGTGTAATTTGAATCCAAAAGTATTAGAGATTGAACATATGTGATTCAAATTATCTAATCTTCATTATTCTTAATGGTAAACTGTCAATGAACTATTATTTATTTATTTCTTAAATGGAAGTTGCGGGCTTACCTCCTTTCACTTACAAATTGAATTTCAAAACGAGAGAGAGAGAGACAAAGGCATGGAGATAAGGGAGACTGAGCCATGTCAATGTATCAAAAAAGAGTATAGATTGCAACAGATAAAACTCCACTAAACCTGAGCTGAAGCGTTCAGTCCATCACATGTCAAGAAGAAACCGCCAATTTCTATATTATCATAATTTCCCTGGCTTTAACCCAATTAAATTATATGAATAGCTCAGGCTAAGTGATTTGACTCAATAAGATCTCCTCTTTGAACACATGAAAGCAAGTAAATTGTATATCAATTTAATGTCGTAAGTTCTTTCTGAATAACCAGAAAACTACCAAGTGCAATGATAAAAAAAATTATTCATTATTTATCTATTTGTTTATTAGGTAGTACTCAAATGATAAACTTACTATATAAAAGAAAATTCGTTAAAGCCAAGCCTAATGCTCCTGCTGTAATGCACATATAGCTCAATGTATATAATGTTTTACAAAAAGGAATGCCTGAAATATTCCCAAACATTATTTAACTGAAATAAAGAGGATCCTAGAAGAAATCATTAATGTTAAATGAATAGTTAAAATAGGAAATCTACCAAGAAGTTCTAAAACAAATCCAGTAATTAGTGTAGTGAAAGAACACACAGACCACAAACACAGCCTCTGCATGTGGCCCTGCAGAAAACAAAGCAAGATAAATATTATTACCTGAGTCCATCAAACCTTAACATCAATACAGATTGGTTGACAAGACAAATAGTTAAACAACAAAATGTAATTACCCATAAAAGCACTATATATCAGGGAACAAGATGTGTCATACCTTAAAATGAACAAGCTGTATATGACTAAACTGCAATCCAAGAAAACATGTAATAACAGCCATCAAGGAACTGAAAGGGTTGTTAAACAAAAGAAATCACCACTATTCATTGTGGTTTCCTACGATTGAAAAGGTTGTTAAACAAAAGTAATCAACACTATTAAAAAAAGAAGAAAAAAACCAACGATTTTCCGACATGTGAAATGGTGTATCACTATTCATTTGTACCGTGAAGCATTTGAAGGGGGTACTTGGCTTTGATCGTGGCAAACCTGGGATTTGAAATTAAGGAGGACAAAATATAATAGTCTTATGCATAAAAAAAATATAGAAAACTAATGCAATACATATTAGCATAAATGAAGTAGCTAAATAGTTAAATATTTCAAACAAAAAATATTCATAAACATTCTTTAATAAAAACAACAAAATTACAATTGTTCTTTACGATTCTTTATGCCTTGCTAGCGATGCATGATAACTTCATTATCAATGGCATTAAATATATCCTTTTCAATATATATGATCAAACATTCAGTCATCCATTGATCCGTTATCTTGTTATGCAAACAATTCTTTAAAAATTTCATAGCAGAAAACGCTCTTTCAATTGTAGCAGTTGCAATCTGGTAGAACAAGGGCTAAAGTGATGAGTCTATAAACCAATCGATTCAAAATATACTTTCTTGTTTGCACCATTTTTTCAGCAAGATCACCAGTTTCTTTCATGCTAGAAAACTCACAACTAGACTTCATATCATCAATGATATATGTTTCTAACCGATTTTCAAGAGCGTAATGAGTTGGATAACGAGAGAAATCAAAAGGATAAATGAGCAACACGAAGCAACTTATCTTGATCAAAAGTAGAGAATGAATTAGCTAGGCTCAAGCATGCAAAACATAAAAGAAAATTTGTGTTCACCTCATTAAACCGATTATTAAGCTCTTGAAGTTTCAAATCTATAACTACATAAAATAACTCAACCTTGTAATGATGCATGTCACTTTCTTAGTATTACGTCGAGACCGTCTCATAGCAATATGTGTATCTTTCATATTAAGGACTTGTATATTATATAGCTAGTACAAAATAAAGATACCTCATCCAATAACAAATTCCATCCATTATCTTGTATTAATTGCTTAGCTATCTTAACCAAGGCCTTAGCATTCACAATATCTTGATCTTTTCTTCGCAATGCTTGTGATAATTCATGAGTGATTCCTAATATGCATATCATGAAATAAAGACAAAATGAAATATCAAAAGATTGCAATGAATCCAATAAAGTGCAAGCTTTAACTTTTTGGTTAGACTTTCCATTTTCCATAACAAATTTAAGGACATCAACTATAGAAGAAAACATCTTAATCAAGCTAATCAAAGTAGTGTAATGTGAACCCCATCACGTCTTTCTAGCCTATTCAAGGTAGACATTAATAGCTTGAAACTTTAAAAGCATATCATGGCACTTACAAGACCCCCCAACAATATTTAGAATACTTGAAACTAAACTAAATAGCAAGGCAATGGGCATGTGATTTTTTTTTCTTTTGTAATAGCTATAAGTGCTAATTGAAGTTGATGTGCAAAATAATGAACATAAAAATCACTTTCATTCTCCTTTAAAATTAAAGATTTAAGACCATTAAACTCACCTTGCATATTGCTTGCCCCATCATAGCCTTGAACACGTAGTCTTGACATGCTTAAGTTGTGCTTGGCAAATATTGCTTCAATTGCAGCTTTTAATGACAAAGCATTGGTGTTTCCAACATGCACGAGTATCTAAAAAGCGTTCAACCACTTTGCGTTCCATGTTCACATAGCGTATAACAATTACCATTTATTCTTTAGTTGACATATCGCAAGCCTCATCTACTCGAATAGATAATAAAGCCTTCCCAAGGTTTTGAATTATAAAATTAGTGGTTTCAATTACATCGACACTCAAAATATCTTTTTGAATATCCGAAGATGTCAATTTAAGATTTTGAAAACACTTATCTATTGTAACTCTTTTGATACCTCATTATGATCACAAAGAAGTTTTAAAGTTGTCTTGAAATTTTCTTGATTACTCGAATAATTTGATTCGTCATGACCATGAAAAGCTAAACCTTATTTTAAAAGAAATC